CCTGATACGGGGATCTCCGGGATCGGCCTGACGAAGGCTATCACGCTCATTGGCTAAAACAGCCGCTTCGGCAGGGAAGTTTGGACGTGGGTCCGATATGCACCCTGCCGGTATGAAGCGGGCTGCAGCAGCAGTGATAGCCCTGCGGAACTTACGTTCACCGAGATGGACGTCGGTTGGTGTGGGGAGCGATGTGAAGGTGTTTTCAGTAAACTCCGCGTAACCTTTCCAGTCAGCTTTAGAAAAGTTGACATAGGTCCGGTGTTTGGCGGAGGCAAAGTCGGTTGGTTTATCAATCGAGATGACTATGGGTAGATGGTCTGATGCTAGAGTCAGCATAGGTCGCCACGTTATGCTGTTTATCAGACCAGCGCTGACTATTGTGATGTCTGGCGAGCTACTGCAGTTACCCATAATCCTGGTGGGTGCGTCGTCGTTCATTGTGCAGAATGTCGAATCGTCTATCTGCTCAGCCAAGTCTGTTCCCCTACGATCGTTTGACAGGCTTGAGTGCCAAAGATCGTGGTGCGCATTAAAGTCACCTACTACCATACGGTTTTCACCTCTGAGGAGCGCACCTATATCAGGGTGATATCCTGCCGGGCAGCAGGTGACAGGGGGTATGTATATATTAAATATTTCGAGCTCGACATCGCCTGACCGGATAGCGATGCCCTGACATTCTAGGGTGGTATCCCTGCGGTCGATGTCTGCTTCGATAAGACGATACTGCACGGTGTGGTGCGTGATGAACGCTAAGCCACCACCATTATCTCGCTCGCGATCTCGACGGTGCACGTTGTACCCGGCACAATTCAACAAAGTTGAATTGCTGTGCAACTTCGTCTCTTGGACCGCAGCTATTAATATACCATGCCGACACATGAAGGCGGTTATCTCCTCAATCTTGCTCTGTAGCCCGTTGCAGTCTAATTGGAGGAGCTTCATGTGGTTCGGGAGACGTGTTGTGATGTGGGGTGTGAGTGATGTGTATGTTCTTGCCGCCGTTGGCTGTGTGTGCTGCTGAGGTGATTGCCTCCCTGTGGTGGTAGTGGGGGGCGTCGCAATTGATGTCAGCGACCGAGCAGCGCAACCCGGGCCCTCGAAGTTCCCCGTCCAATCTCGCGTGGTGCGCAGACCTGAACATGCCCTAAAGTGGCACCAGCCAAGGCAGGTGTTGCACTTGACTGATGTCACATTACGGAATATCCTGGTCTGACATACCGTGCAGATTGTAGGGGGAACCAGGAGTTGTTGGCGGCGTGTGGGTGGTGGTGCGGTTGTGTGTGTTGTGTGGTCTGTGGTGGCTGTGGTATGTTGTTGTGTTGTGGCGACTGTGTGTGGTTGCTGTGTGAGTGTGTGGGGCTGCACGGGCGGACTATGGGTTGCCGTGGAGGCTGCTCTGTTTGAGCAACAGGGGGCCACGTACGACGTGGTCCACTGTCTGTGTGTCCGTAGTCCCGAGCAGACCCTGAGGTGACTCCACCCCTCGCAGGCATTACACTTGACTGAGGTGGAGTTGTGGTGTAATCGTCTTCGGCATACACAGCAGGTGTATATTTCTGGCCCAGGGTTTGACTCGATGCCAGCCCTGAGTAGGAGAATGCGTAGTGAATGTTGCCCTATGGACGGACAACTTCTGAGATACTTCGCCGACCTAAACGGGGTTAGATCGCCGAAACAACAGCCCTTGGTCGGGTGAAACCCGAGTCATTCCGGTACGTAGAACCGGCTGTCGTGGGAATGATGGAATTTTGTTATTTGTTTTGGTTTTTCAGGTCATTAATGATGCACCCAGGGTTGCATTTACCGTCTATGAAAATATTTCATGAGCGTTCCAAAATTAGCTCCGAGCAACTAAAAGTTGGTTAAGCTTAAATGAAATAGTTTTTTATTAAATATTTATTCCTGGTATTTAGTAAAAAACATCAATACTAATGTATGAAAAACAAAACATCAATACTAATGTATGAAATGAAGTAAATAAAAATCTACATATACATTCCATGAATATTTTGTCATAGAGCCATTATTAAATTTAGAAATAACTTTGTCAGGCGTTGGTACTGACGTATATAGAATTAATGCGTTAGAGAGAGATAAATATACAAGTTCAACGCGCTAATTTAGGTATACTTGTATGTAAATACCTGTTACTCGTCTGGCATTTACTCCAACTGCGAAAATAATGACAATTATAATTTATGTAGATCCCTAGATAAAAGATTGTCACAAGTTACTTTCGGTAACTCACGATTGAAGTTTGGAATGCAATTTCTCAGAAACACGACTACAGATTTTCTCCAAAGTGTCGGAGAATGCTATGTACTAGTTCATGAAATTCTTAAATTATCTTATTTTTTTTAGTTTAGTGTCAACCATTTATGAGTTTAATAAAATTTTGTCGTATACGACATTTGTCAAAAAATTTGCAGACAGTTTTAGTGATATACGCCAAAATGTGATAACAATTTTTATAAATTAGCCATACTTTTTACTTATCAGCCTAATCGTGAGTTTCGCCCGAACAAAATTTCGCCAACAATTTTTTCATCCACCTGTAGTGAACACACGCAAACGAAAAGTGACCCGGTTCTAGAAAATGAAACTCATGATAAAGCTGAATATGCCGGAAACTAAAGAAGAACAGATAACTCTATTTGAAAGATCTTGATTAGTTTAGTACGACAGCAATACTAACGCAATTTGTACCAAATAACCGAAAAAATTTTAGTCAATTAGTCGGAAACTAAAGAAGATATCCAAAAACCACATATTGTCAAAATTACGCTTCCGGCAATTTTCCATCCAGGCGACGATATTTGAATAGGTTTGTATAGTTACCAATAGTCAGTACTTATTTGTACTGGAACCTGCAAACTTTTGCTGGAAAAATGTATGATAGCCCAAAAAATTTGCAAGAGAGTACTGAATCGAGAGCGTAACAACACGAGAGAGCTGCAAATTCTTGCTAGTGAAATTTTTACTAGCAGAAATTAGCTAGCAGAAGAAGAAGAAGAATAAATGTCAAAAGAATATATATAAAGTGGTGTTACTAGCTCAGCTGATTTTGTGTATGTGTTTCGCCTCACGGCTTCTGATATCAGATTGAAAAATTTTGTTTGAATTTCTACACACACTCTTACAGATTTTGACAGTTTATGCCGCCAAAGCAAAAAGAAAATACATTAAATTTTTGTTTTTGTACTCCTGCTATCACCTTATATTGATTCGCCTTGGCACAAACAAAAGTAAAATGAGTGGAAATCAAAATATTAATGATGTACTGGACAGTGTAAGTGCTTGTGTGTAACGCAAAGAGTTTAAAACTGATTTATAAATAGTAAAATGTTTACAGCAGATTGTCAAAGCAGTGCAACAACTGTTCACTTGCAAGTTTTTGCTAGTTTTGTGTTCAATAACCTCTTCTGCTAGTTTTCTCTTCTTCTCAATTTTACGCTCTATTTTGCTCTTACGCTCTCGCTGCAATGTTTTACAGGAGAAGTTCCTATACAAACCTAATGTTACTCGCATATTTTCGAGCCTGTATGTAAATTTTCGGGAAAAAGGTTAAAAAGTATATTCATCTGCTGAAAAGATATTTTCGCAGATTCACAATTTATTTAAAATAAATCTATCAGCCCTATCTCCAATTCCATGTGAATAAATCTCTCCAGTGCTTAAATAATTTTCACCACATTAAATAGCTGCACAACACCCTAATTGCCGAAAAAGCGTTGCTTGCAACACCAGTCCTTTATGGGGACCAAACTTGGTGAAAAAAAAGCTAAGTTTGTTTACTGGATATACTGAGAAACAAAACTTTGCGCCTGCCAAAATTATTATACCCTCAAATCGCTGGTATTGCCACTTTATTTCACATTTCATTTGCGCTATTACACTCAGTTTACACTATACACTTCTTTTTTTACTTTCACCTAAATAAAATATTCTAACCAAAATATAATACCAAATTTCGGTATACCATTGTATGTAATTGCCCATACAAAACAACGAAATTTAACAAAAGTTTTTTGTTTATAACTTTTAAATGGTTAATAATATTAGCCCTCCCCTCCGGATTGTTAATAGTGGGACTGAAAGGCGTCGTTTGGTACCCCTCCCAACTTTCGGGACCTTTTTTTAGGGGTTGTTACCCTATACTAGACAATTACCGCAACTTTTTTCAATACATATGTACGTAATTGCGTATAGCTGTCATATTCACAGTCTTTACTTAACTATTTAAAAATACGTTCTTTGAAACCGAAATAAACTAAACTCAGATGATTCTCTCTGTGTGTCAGAATGAAAATGTACGTGCATCTGCTTAGTACAGAAACAAATCTAATTTGTTGGCATTTCTATATGTAAAAGGTGCAATCCCGTATTCCTCGGACTCAGACTAGTAAAACTGTCAAAAAATAAAAATTCGCTCAGAGCGAGAGAGTAACATTGAAAAGTACGGGATCGCTTTCTAGTAAAAATGGTAACTTCTGTCAACTTCAACATAACCTCCAAATTTTGGTTGTAAATTTTTGCTTATTTTGTATGTATACACACTCAGCTCACACATGCAAATAACCAAAAATACTTTCCAATTCATTAGAATCCACTTAAACAAGTAATTAAATATATTTCAACATGAATAAGCAGAGTGTACTTTTCTTTTGTTTACAATTTGGTTGCCAAACACACTACAGCAAAAAATTCTCGGGCTAAAAATGGTAACTTCTGACAGAGAGAGAACGGTATTTACTCTCTTTTTTGCCCTCTCAATAGTCAGAGAACAGTGTACGGGATTGATTTCCAGTAAAGTCTGATTGATTCTGACTATTTCTGACTAGTCCGGACTCGTACGGGATCGCTACTATAAAGTGGTATATGTTCATGCAAATACATAGCGTGTAAGAACACCTTAACTGGGAGTACAGCGCAGCCGATAATTTCGATAGTTTTAAAACATCCATAGTTTGTTAAAAAAAAAAAACAAACCATCGATATATGGATATTATCGTCGATATTTTCCACCTCTAATTCTGCCCGCGTCCAATTTGTGTACATCTATTTGATGACGGTCAAAGTAAAAGTTTTTAATTAAAAATGAACACCTTTCAAAATACAAATGATTTTTAACTTAAAAATATGTCAAGATAAAGTGCCGGTATAATGGTTAACAATGCAGTTAAAGTTTATAACAATCTTGCTGTGGACACAGACGGTGTTTGTGTGTGTATATTCTCGCTTTCATAAAACATGTACAGGATATGTTAGTTTGTATATATGACGTTTGATATTGGTTTTGTATTGTTAACATTGAGGAAACAATAAATTTTGTAAAAAAAATAAGTACATGCATATGTATATATGACAAGGCACCGGCCATAATGTGCAAAACCGATGGCGTTCTGCAGATTCAGATGGTCAATACCATGTGTAATACTGAAACATACAAGAATGTGTGTATACTGATAGCACGAACCAGTCCGAATACACAGGCGTGCACCCTTGATTTATGCATAGTAAAAATTGGGGGAATTTTCGGGTACTGTTTATGAATTTGTACACCGATTTTGGGTTGCTGTGCCCAAACGCGTGAATCGAATCAAAAACCTTTTACACACATTTGTAGACAACAATTCACGCTTTATTACAAATATTTAAACCCGTATGCTGTAATCCGGAAGTTCGTAGTTACGAATTCGTAGCTCCGTTCCGAAAATTTCAAAATTGGTATGCTGTAATCCGAACCAGTGTTGCCGCGAATCATTTTTAGTGGTAGCCAAATTCCTTTAAAAAAAAAAAGGATAAAAAAGAGTTAGAAAAAGTCGTTGTGGCTAAAAATTGTAGCTAAAATTGTTTACTTACATATACTAATATAAGTATACACGTAAACATTTACAATAAGTAATGGTATAGAAAAACAATGAACTCTTTAAAAAAGCAAATATTTTATCCAACCAAAACCTTTTTGTATAAAAGGGGAAATATACGACACCAGCATGCTGGATCTATCAAGTGATTGTACCATCAGGCTCGATGCATATAACTAACCAGCATGCTGGTACAATATTTATTTCGTTACAACTGAGGTCGAGGAATTATCGAAATACATTCCCACGACAGCCGGTTCTACGTACCGGAATGACTCGGGACTTACCCGACCAAGGGCTGTTGTCAGGCGATGTCGAGCTCGAAATATTTATCATATACATACCCACTGTCACCTGCTGCCCGGCAGGATATCGCCCTGATATAGGTGCGCTCCTCAGAGGTGAAAACCGTATGGTAGTAAGTGACTTTAATGCGCACCACGATCTTTGGCACTCAAGCCTGTCAAACGATCATAGGGGAACAGACTTGGCTGAGCAGATAGACGGTTCGACATTCTGCACAATGAACGACGACGCAACCACCAGGATTATGAATAACTGCAGTAGCTCGCCAGACATCACAATAGTTAGCGCTGGTCTGATACACAGCATAACATGCCGACCTATGCTGACTCTAGCATCAGACCACCTACCCATAGTCATCTCGATAGATAAACCAACCGACTTTGCCTCCGCCAAACACCGGACCTATATCAACTTTTCTAAAGCTGATTGGAAAGGTTACGCGGAGTTTACCGAAAACACCTTCACAGCGCTCCCCACACCAACCGACGTCCATCTTGGTGAACGTAAGTTCCGCAGGGCTGTCACTGCTGCTGCAGCTCGCTTCATACCGGCAGGATGTATATCGGACCCACGTCCAAACTTCCCGGCCGAAGCGGCTGTTCTAGCCGATGAGCGTGATAGCCTTCGTCAGGCCGATCCCGGAGATCCCCGTATCAGGGATCTCAACGCGGAGATTCGGCAACTAGTAAAAGTACATAAGCGGAAGAAGTGGGAGGAGCATCTGAAGACCTGTAATTTCACCTCTGGTGTGAGCAAGCTTTGGTCAACCGTGTGGTCATTGTCTAATCCGACGAAGCACGACGACAGAGTCGAAATTTCCTTCGGCGACCATGCCTCGTCGGACCCGGAGCGATGCGCGAGCTATTTTAGCCG